TACTATGTCCTTAAATTCATTATAGCACTAATAAAGAGATGCTTCAAACACATTGTCACTTTAATTAAAAATAAAAAAACAATTAATGTGGATTTACTTTTAAATTTTAACATTTAAATAAAAGTTCAGCATGTGCAGGATGATGACACGTCAGCACTGTGTTATTATAGTAAATAAACAGAAACATTTGCTAATTTAGTTGTTATAGCACACAATGTCAAATGAAGATCACGGAACAATTTAAGATTACGAGAAAACCACTTTTATTAAGTCGTGATGACGTTAAAACTAGAAATAAATTCATAACCCATGGCTTTAGGACTTGCAAACAACCGCGCCAACATAATATAGCAATAACAGCAATAATAGGCTAAATGCAATAAATCATTAGACACTTACAGTAGCCTATAATCCAGTGTTGTATCCGAATCAGAAAAGAGCAAAATCAAGAGCAGCTCCTGTAAATGCGTCAGTCCACTCTCAGAAGATCTTCAGCAGAAGCTCTGTCTAGATCAGCTCGCGTTTGGTGGACTGTGTTCTGAATGTTGCTCTGCTTTTTATATATAGAGCAGGCTGGTTTCTCTTTCATATAGACTAGCCCAAAACTTTTTTTTTTTTTTTAAATGCATCCCGCGCATGCGCACAGGAGAATACAGGCTGATTTCTGAGAAATCATGTGACTTCTCATACAGAGCAGGCTGATTTCTGAGAAATCATGTGACCTCATACAGAGCAGGCTGATTTCTGAGAAATTATGCTGTTATGAAATATAGACGGACTAAGTGCGGAAGACATTTCAGTTTGGATGAACACACACTGATTCTTGACACATGGAACAACACATGTCCAGCGATTGTAACTGCTATTAGGTTTAAAAATGAAAATATTTTCAATTGTAAGTGTTATGGGGGATTAATAATCGAATGTATTTAACACAATCATCCCCTTCAATTTAATTTGATCATTATTATATCAAATCTATGACACTTATTGTCTTCTCACTGCATCTAAAACTGTGTCCACAGAGAAGGGTTCAATCATTCATATGCTATAAAATGGATAAAAAAGATAAAAGAGCTTGTTTTATCAAAAGCAACACTTAATAATTTCTCCTATCAAAGCAAGGTTGTTGTCAAGGACACATGCGAGTTTCATAAGGTTTCAAAGTTGTGTCCCCACTTTTTGTCAACACCGTCAGACATTTGTTCAAATGTAAAAAACAAAACCAATCTGGGAATATCGGGCAGCTGTGACTCTAACAGACCCCTTTTCCACATTCAGCTCTGCAGAGAGCACGCCACTGAATATAATAAAAAAAAACATGGCAACAAATGCTTTTTTTTTTTTAAGTCAGTTTAAGAAGTTTAATAATTTGAAACAACTTTCACAGTCAATTTCAACTTGACTCATGTTTAGCCATTGCTTCTTGTCATTGTAGGCTTAGGCTACTTTTTTCAATACATTTTAATGAATATACAAATTAATAAAATGAATTTTTATTGGTTGAACGACGCTACTGCCCATCACTGCCAATTTTTTTGTGCAGAAATTATTAATTCTATTGCAGCCCTTGGGTACAAAAATAAACCTGCTCCAGTGCCATGGCACACTAACACTACACATGCCCTTAGACAGGCATATAGATATGTGTCAAATGAAAATGGAAAAAGAACAGACTGCAGGCTTATGAAATCGTGAGAAACCCTTATGACATGTTCCAGAAAGCTCATCTGCAAACATGCAAAATGAAAATACTTCAAACTCACTGCAACTGTAAGAGTTGTAAAATGTTCCTTGCATTAACAATAGGTTGAGATACATTTTAGCCTAGTGATACTTCACTGAACAGCCAATTTTATGTTTTGTGAATTTTCAAAGTACAAAATACTGTATTTGTATTTTGATACATTTTTTCCCTCACAGTATTTATTGCATTTTATTTTGACCTGTTTAAACTGAAGTATTTTGTATATTAATTTTAAATGTATTTTCATGTATTTGTGCCCATAAGAAAGAATCTGTTTGCTGAAAGAATTGCTGTCTTACAGCAAGATGTCTTTTTTGTTTATAAGTCATGTTAAGGATGTTTTTAGACCTCACTTTAATTTAACTGGAGTAAAAAAAAAAAAGAGACCCTAGTTAAATAACCTTCTCATTAGGGACATTTAGTGATTAGAGGTTTTTGTTTTCGCTCATTTCTTGCATAAAATGTGCCTCACGGTCCAACAGGATGTGATGCCAGTTAGCTGTTTTTCTCACATTGTTGTTGGATTGTAATTCTTTTATTTATTTGAATATTACTGAAATGTAATCTTTGCAAACCGTTTTATAGATTTTAATCTATCTCTGTTCCAGAGTCCAGTTCAGTTGTCACAGTTTCTGTCAGTTTGCACTCTGTGTTTCTTTACCCTTTGCCTTTGTTCATTTGTTGTCATTGTTACTCATTTGATTTAGTCACATTCAGGTGCATGTGTCCAGTTATCTTCTGTACTTAAATTCAGTTCCATTTGTGTTTCATTTGTCTTGTTAATGCTGCCCTGTGTGTTGGATTACCTGTGGGTTTGGTTAAAGATTTTCTAAATCTTCATCTTCATTTTCGTGCATGTTGTACAGCATAGCGTGACACCAGTAGGCTGTGTTGCCTTTAAAACAGTAGCCTGAGGGATTAAATGACTTTCCACTAGATCACCTGGGTACATTTTTGTGACACCAGGGTGGAGCAATGTGTAATTTTGCATTGTTTAACATAACTTACTTTGCATAATTACTTTGCATAAAAAATAATACAACACTATTTGCAATAAAAGCAAATGAGTTCAAAAGATAGACATTTTCTCTTCTAACTTCAAATTTACCACAAAAAATAAATAAATACCGTAGTTCCTACAGTAGTTTGTTTAGAAGTGATGTGTTCAAATGGGCTTTTATGACAACAAGACTGAATGAATACCAACAGTATAAATAAATGTGAATTTACATTTATTGCATAGATTTTAGATGACACGATGTCAGTGTTAAGACTGTGCATTTTAAATGTATCTGTAAGCTATAATCTTCCTATATGCCTGACATACTTTGGTGCCCAGTGTTCTCAATAAGTGAAGGAGGACAGCACAAAGGAGTTTAATCTAGCAAGCCTTGATTACTGCGTGTATCATATAAGGTTTGCTGATTAAAGGGTTCCTGCAATAATATGGGTGTGATTTTACCTTTGGGTCCTGTCTCGATGATATTGTACGTACTTCACATTTTAGTGTTATTATTTAGATGAAGGAAACTTTAGGCTTGTTTCCAGCAGATTAATAGTGATGCTGCTCTCATCTATGTAAACCTTTAACTCCTCTGTTAATGGTGTCCTGGAGTTATGTTTCCATTTCCAGAGAGAGGATGTGTACAGTATGTGTATATAACGTGACCTTTAATGTGTTTATTTTTCTACATAATGAGTGACTCATTTTAGGACACAATGCTGACAGGCACCACCCTTAAGTACAGTGATGCCCATCCATCATTTCATTGGGCACAGCATTGAACACCTGCCACAGTCAGATTGGCTGATGATTTTAGAAGACGCCCAAAAGAGTTTAAAAGAGTATAAAAGTTCCAGATTTTTTATTTTTAAACAACGACGTTTGAAATTCAAATGGCGAACCTTGTGAGAGACATGTATGAAGAAGTGAATCGCGACGAGATGACTGAACCTCAACGCAAAAAATTTCGCAGCGAAAAGCTAAGTACAAATCCCAATGTTCTATTTAGAATATATCAACGAGGTCATCTACATATACTGCAATTCAGTTCTATGTATCTCGACGGGTGGGTGGAGTGCTTGAAATCCTACTCCCAAATTAACTTTCAACATCTTACATGTAATGTGTTCAGTCTCTGTGGTTCGCCAAGTGAATTGCAAACGTTTTGCAACAAATACTATGACAACTTGGAAATGATTCGGCTGTCATTAGGGGCGTTCAACTAGTGCGGTCGCACCGGGCCCCGCGCTTGTGCAGCGAAATGTCACTGGCGCGATCTCGAACGGACCACCCGACCCCCCCGTCCCACCGAACTCAACGTTGAACGACACGACACGAAACGAAACTTGGAAATGATTCGGCTGTCATTAGGGGGGGTTCATCTAGTGCGGTCGCACCGGGCCCCGCGCTTGTGCAGCGAAATGTCGCTGGCGCGATCTCGAACGGACCACCCGACCCCCCCGTCCCACCGAACTCAACGTTGAACGACACGACACGAAACGAAACTTGGAAATGATTCGGCTGTCATTAGGGGGGGTTCATCTAGTGCGGTCGCACCGGGCCCCGCGCTTGTGCAGCGAAATGTCGCTGGCGCGATCTCGAACGGACCACCCGACCCCCCCGTCCCACCGAACTCAACGTTGAACGACACGACACGAAACGAAACTTGGAAATGATTCGGCTGTCATTAGGGGGGGTTCATCTAGTGCGGTCGCACCGGGCCCCGCGCTTGTGCAGCGAAATGTCGCTGGTGCGATCTCGAACGGACCACCCGACCCCCCCGCCCCACCGAACTCAACGTGGAACGACACGACGGCATCATACTATTGACGCCATACAATCGATTGCATTCCTATTGTCCAAATAAATCTGAAATCAATAATGATATGGTCTCTCTCTCAGTTATTTTGTTATTATTAGAGGTCAACCAATAATGGATTGTACTGATAATTGTAACTAAGTTGGACTGCACTAGCTGATAACCGATTAGTTATAGAATGGATACTGAATGAAAACAAAAATGACATTGTAGGTAAAATAGTGCTGCACTTTAAATTTTTTTTAAAAGTACTGAAAATGAAAATGTACTGTAATTTTTAAATAAACATATTAATATATTAATTGTACCTATGATAATATATTAATTACCTTCATTCATGATTGTTCATAGCGCATTAACTTACAGATACAACTTTAAAATTAAAAAATGTATTAGTAAATGTTGAAATTAACAAGGAACAATATGCATTTATTAATGTTTGCATATTATTGTAAAGTTTTATCATGTCATATAATGTTTTTTTCTCTTTTTTTTTTTGGTGAGTGTTACATCTGCTCCTTACAGGCCAGCAGCAAGTTGCTAGTTTTGTTTCACAGCAGACCAGAGAGCCATTTATGGAGCCGTGCTGAAGTCCTCCAGGACTGTGATGGGTGTCATGAAACCAGGTAAAATAAATACAACCGAGTTTTGAGTTAAATAATAATGTATTAACTATGAATAATAAAGCATTAACAATAACAATTCAGGCATGATGTTTGTAATTTCTGAATAAAAACAAAGTGAAAAACTTAACTTTAAGCTAAGAGTAAGTTACCTTACCATACAGTGAAAAATTGTAAATGGTTTAACATCACATTATGTAATTTTATTGTAAAATTCTGTAAAATTCATGGTTTTTGGAAGTAAAAACATATAATTTAAAATTAAAAGGATGTTCCCAGACGTATTATGAATAGATTTTGTTTAAATGTGTTTCTTCTTATTTGTGTTATCGCATATATTGAGTATTTTGTGTTATTTTCTGTTGTTGAGTTAGTGTTGTGTGTTGCCCTCATGACGTTTTGACCCTGTGCTCTATCTACAGTATATTGGGCAGGTTTTGTGGACGGGCAATCTGCGATAAACTTATGATGATCCATCATGTGACTTTCTGTTGAACCACCTGAGATGGTGAGTATCGAGCATGCATGTTATCTCAAATTTAGATTTTAATACTTGAGAAGGAGGTTCCTTCTGAAGAAGTACAACCTGTGTTCGGTTTGAAATCCAAGATGTGAAAAGTAGAACTGATAAAAGCCACATATTGAACAATCCTGTCTCTATCCAGGTTGAATTTGGAAGATGACATCACAATAACAATTGATGGTGTGGAGGTGTTGACCTTCGTCTGTACTTCACATCACATGTGTCCCGATATCCACGTAAAACGGCATCCTTCACACGCACACATGTTTGGAGTAACACCATGGCAGTAGCCCTACACACAACAGACTATTTAAACTGAGCCAAGTAACCTTTTCTCTGTTTGATTGAATGCAGTTTAGTTTTATGATGAATAGGCTGCAGTGTCAAGCTAGAACTGATATGTCGTGTGTGCTGGACTTATATTCAGGAGAATAGAGTAGATAATATTTAGCATGTACATGTATTGTTTGTGTCTTGCCAGAGGAGGATGGGCACCCTCAGTTGAGTCTGGTTCCTCTCAAGGTTTTCCCTCCACTACCTAAACCTCTTATGGAGGGTTTTTTCCTTGCCACTGTCGCCTTTGGCTTGCTCATGGGGGGCTTTGAGGCACAATATTCTGTTTAGCTGTTTTGAAATAAAAGGTCTAAAACTTAATTTGACCTTCATGATGTAGGAGAAATTCTTATTCACACTGGGAAAATCTCTTCATTTCAAGACTTTATGTTGCAAAACTTGTCCATAGCTGTGTTCAAGGGTGCAAAGGAAGGTTCAAGGGAACTTGAAGGAAGTCATCTTTCTTCTTGGTTGTTTTGTGTGTTACCATGATGGTGTTTTGTATTTGTGTGTATGTGTGTAAAGATCTTTGTATAGATCAATTATACATGTTTTAAGTTATTCAAACATTGTTTTATTTTTGTTTAAACTGTTTTTATTAGTCTTGTTACACTTTTATTTATTGTATTTTTATTGTATTTAATTTAATATTGTATTTTATTTATATTTTCCATTTTATATGGAACAAACTTTACCGTTATGCATTTTCATGCTGCTTTTCTTTTTTTTTTTAAACCAATTCTGTAATAAATCTCTGATTTTTGAAGGTTTTGGACTGGAGGATTTAACAATGGATGGTTTTTATCCAACACTTTTATTTGTAAAAAATTAATTAAATGAAATCAATGATAATGATGTAATTTCTTAAAAAAATTCAAAGTTGATGTTGACACTGCTTTTCTTTATATCAGTGTACCAATGGGCAGACAGAGAGCAAAAGGAAGGCAAAAATAAATACCCTGTTGCAGGCCTGATGCGATGCTGGGGTTTGTTTGGGGAGCAAACAAAATAAACGGCTGTCTTACCGGTGTTCTGAAATATTCTGAGATTTTCCAAAAGCGTCTGTCTGCGGACTGCAAGCGAGGGGCGTAACTTGAAGTTGTCCGAATCACACAGAACCACGCGAGATGTCAAAACGAGATGTTGTTGGCAAGATGGCCACTTGTATAGAGACAACGGTGAGAATATTTTTTTCAGAAATAAGAGTTTAAATTGAAGTGTGTAAGTCATTTTCATACAATAGTATTGTATATGGAGTTAATACTCTATTAAAACTAAGGTGCAAAGTAAGCAATCTATAAGCAAAAGGTGATAGCATAATAGCACAAATACATCACTTTTTTTTTTTTTTTTTGTCTTTAGCCTTGTCTGTGCAACCAGGGGATAGCGTCTTTACACCTTTTGCTTATAGATTTGAAAAACCCTGTCTCACACCCCACACCCAAGTTACGAGGTTTCTCTGACAGTTTGAGAATCAATTGGCGTTGCGAAGTTTTACTGACAAGCTCTTTTTAATGCTTATCATTGATTAAATATTTGTAAAACCCTCTGATTTAAAATAATCCTAGATAGCGCACGTACGTCGGCAAGATGTCTGTTAAAGATCTCTTGATCTGGAAAGCATCTGCTGTGTACAAACGTCTTTCTGATGTCCGTTTTACATACATTCTAAATCATAAACATCTTAAAGACATCTAATAGACGTCTATTTGACACCTGATAGGAAATGTTATGTTTAGTTAGATTAACTCATTTTATATAGGCCCAGTTTCACAGACAGGGCTTAGACTAAACCAGGATTAGGCCATAGTTCAATTAGGACATTTAAGTAATTTTTATAAACGTGCCTTAGAAAAAAAACATTACTGGTGTGCATTTTGAGACAAAACAAAGGCACTGATATATTTTAAGATTAGTCAGTGCAAGTTTCTTTCAGTTGAAACAGCTCAGACTTCGGACTAGGCTAAAGCCTTGTCTGTGAAACCGGGGGCCAGTCTGCCAAAAGTTTATATTCTTTAAAATAGTTTCCTTCAGAGGAACAGTTGTTATATATAGTGCAAGTCACCATGATTCTGTGTTTGTCAGGAGCTGTAAAAGGTTTGGTTGTGTGTGACTGATGGGACGGTTTCAGTCTGGAGCGTCATAGATCAACTCTGAACAGAGATCCAGAGACACACAGGACTCAGAGCTCAGCCTCGCTTTACTCTGTTCCACTGACGCTCAGGAGAATGTGTGTGACAGTCATGGATCCAGCGATCAAACCTCCACAGAGTCTCTGGGTTCAGACTGTAACGCTGGAGAACAGCAGATGCTGCAGACGCCACTGAAGATGTGCTCAGTCACACTGCTGGACTGCAGGAAGATGATTCATTTTATTTTATAAATTTGTCATCAGCTCTTTCCTCCTCACTAACACCAGTTATATCCTCATGAAGCTCATGAAGCTTGCTCCTGTAATACAATCTGATCCAGAGTGAAGCACATCAGAGTCTCTTTGTGCTCCATGTGACACATGATGCTCCTCAGCTTCAGATCAGATCTCTGACTTCTCCTCACACTGTCTCTAATCTGAACTCAAACTAAAGGCCTTTGAGTTTGCAGTGAAAGTCAGTTGTGCCATCTAGTTGTGGACAAAGATGATGACGTTAATCTTCAATGCATTACAATAATTATATAACACTTGATACTTAATTTATAATGCCTTAAATTCTATTTAATGCAAGTGTTCTATTTAGTTCAAGAGTTCTCAGCTTTTGCATAAAAGTTTAGCATTTATTTTCAATACCATTCATTTCTATTTTATTATTTGGTTTTATTTCTATTTTTCTCATTACTGTAATATATCCCTTTTTTTTAAATAAATGTAATGGTTTTTGAATAATCTCCTTATTAGTGCTAATTAATCTAAGGACATAGTTTAGTATATTTAAAATAGATTTTCAGGCTGATCAAAATGTAGACTCCTGGGACTGTGTGCTGTAATACTGATTATCACCAGGAG